TTTTTTTTGTTTTTGGGGGGGGGGGGGCATAAACAGCGGGGCCATAAAACACCATGGATCATGACGGCGTCGTCTGCGGACATTCCAATCCACGCCCTTGTCCGGCGACAGCACAAGTCCGCGGCACGAGGTGTTGATCGAACTGTCTGTGACGTAAGGAAGGATACGCACGAACCTTGTCGACAGATCAGGGGCGCTGCTCTGCTCTTCGGCAACTCGGGACACATCCGCCTTTGGTTTATTGATTTAATTTTCTTTCTACCAATATTGCTGCTCCCGAGAATTTAGTCGTCCTGGGCATTGGCACTAGATTGGGTCTCAGTGATGTCACTAAGGGGATGCAGTTGGGTGGGGGAGGGGGGAGTCGGATCACACCGGGTGACACCATTTGTAGTTACCACATGTTGGGACTTCAATTGTAACAACTAAAAAAAATATTTTTTTTAAAAATTATAAAAAATTGGGGAGTGAGAGAGGGTTGAAGACTTCATTCTCGTCTTACTTTTTCATTAATTAATCATTTCAAGAAAAGCCCAGAGCTCAATGGATTCATGGATTAGGAAAACAAAGTTGATAGGAAGAGTGTGCACGCAATGGTGTGTAGTGTGAATCTTTTTCAACACGCAATGCTGTAAAAAAAAAAAGTCAATTTTTCAATTTATTTTACTGTTTTCAATCATTCGTACAGTAACGGGTATATATATGTGGCAGGAAAGTTTGCACCTCATACGTCAGTCATGAGCTGAAACTCAACTGCTGCCACCAAATATGTCTGCGTCGTATTTTGCTAATTCGATGGCAGGACAAGGTGCCTAACACAGAGGTTTTGGGGCGTGCCAAAATGTTTAATATGTTCTCTGCTTCTGACAATGGGCGTCTTCGCAGGTTAGGCCATGTAACGAGAACGGAGGAAGGAAGTATTCCAAAGAATCTGCTGTATGGAGAATCGGCAAAGGGGACAAGACATATTGGACGGTGGTGGCTGCGATGTAAGGACGTTTGCAAAAGGAATATGAGGAAAGTTAACAGAACAATCAACGAATAGGAGAGCATCGCTGAGCACCGTTCCAGTGGGCGATCAGCAGTGTGTGAAGGAGTCAAAAGGGCAGAATATGCGTGAAACAAAGCCCTTCCAACAATAGGAGCACTATGGGGTGGGGGGGGGGTCACATGCAACCAAAAGTCAAGGTTCTGCTGTGAGAAGTGCAGCCGAGACTGTCATTTCAGGGTGGTCCACGTAAACTGTTTGATGAAGTGTAAATAGCTGTATACACTCCATCGTCTCCCGAAGACGGAAGGATGCCATATATTTTACAATTAGGCTATAAAAATTTTTTGAGGACTACATCGCGTCCTGTTGTCATGGCGCTTGCAATTATTTTATTTTTTTTAGCTATAGCGTCTGTAACACCAACTTTTGGTATACAATATTTTTTTTTTTCCATTTGTGTTTTGCTGTGGACTGGTGACATTTGGAAAGACGAGCCTGTGCTTCAATAATAGTTTTACTTTTGTTGCCACCCATATCCGTAGTGTATTGAATATGTTCATAATAAGCTACACCTCCAAAGCTTATCAGTTGATCAACCCGTTCAGTTTGTCGCCTTCATTTCTTACGTCCTGCTACAACCACACAACATCAGTGTCCAATGTCTAGCTCCACCTGACTGGTAGCGTTATCTCACTAGGTTCGTATCCAGCTTTACCATCTCCGAAATTCATCGAGTTCCCACCACGAGTGGAGTTTTGTCCGTTTTTAGGAAAGTAATGGGGTTGGGGGTGGATGAAACTTTAAAAAATATAAGCCATTTCATGTCCTCAAGTTGAACCCCACTAACCAAATAAAGGTGTAAGATTTACTGGGTAGTGTGGAACAAATAATGTGGACTTATTTGGGTTAATTCTTCAATTATGCTTTTAGTATTTTGCAAAAAGAGCATCATGACCCCCCCCCCCCAATTGCATGAATGTCACTAAGTTCAACTTAGGTGATTTAATTTCTTTAATGTCTTGTGTCTCCGAACAGTCTTCTCCACCATGTCTTAAGTTAAACACCAGCAATTCCATAAGACCAACTCCACCATGTTTTAAGTTAAACACCAAAATTTCATAAGACCAACTCCACCATGTCTTAAGTTAAACACCAGCAATTTCATAAGACGAACTCCACCATGTTTTAAGTTAAACACCAAAATTTCATAAGACCAACTCCACCATGTCTTAAGTTCAACACCACCATTTCATAAGACCAACTCCACCATGTTTTAAGTTCAACACCATTTCATAAGACCAACCACGTCATCTTCAGCAGTGCATCAGCATCTTTGTCCCCCCAATGAAACTATCAAGTAACACATCTTTGTAGCATATCCTAAAATAAAAGTTTATCTTAAATTTAACTGGTGCACTTCTATGCCAGGCACAAACATTCAACATAAGTTGATACAAAAAAAAACGAGATAAAGGTGTGAATTTAAGAAACTTTTATTGCATATAAAAATAGAATGTCAAAAATTTCGAGTATCAAATTAATATTTCATGTCATTGTTCATTGCTGCAATTTATTTAACCTAAATTCTTGACCCAATCAAATGTGGACTTGCATAACTCACATGAAGTTAACAAGAACAATGGTCAAGTGTTGAATAGAACTGGGTTATCAATGATGGTATGTTATCAAACGAGAGATATATACTCAGTCAACTCAAGCTCTCTATGATCAAGGGCCAGTAGTCCCATGACAGGGCATTGTGAACAATTGCAGATACCTATGTGATAGTACCACATGATACTGCACTGTGTGTGTGTGTGTGTGTGTGCCAGGATGTCTCTGCTGGTGTGGTGCCTGGCTATGTGTTAGAACTGATGTGAAGACAGGTAGCTATCTTTCCTGGCAGGTGAAGCTGGGGAAGAGGGGTGGTGGGGACATGATGACTGATCAGGTGACTTGCCAGGACCAGAATGACTCAACATAATGTACTAAATAAACAAGATGGGGATGGGGGGGGCTTTGATTTCATAACTTTGATAAAAACCACACAGAAAGTTACATTACTAAGCATGCATTGTGTATACAAATAATCTCATTGATAAAATAAAGATAACAGTTTTAGTTAATAAGATGGAACTTTTCCTCCACAGAGTAGCTTGGCCGTGGTTGCCACCTACTTTTGGGTTTGGTTCCAAACTGATTTCTTTAGTTGAGTTGGGATAATAATAAACAGACTCAATAATTGATTTTAAAAAAAATATAAAAAATTCAATTATTATATTTCTTTTCAATTCACGCTAACATGATGCAATCCGTGTTAACTTAGCCAAACCATAACAACCACAAATGACATGAAATCAGATATGATATGCAAGAAACCACTTGTTCTTTTCTCTCAAAAATAATTTTTTCATACATGACCCTACCCCTAGTGGAAAATATTATCTCTAATGTTAGCATTGATGTAATAATTTTTTAAGTAAAATATAAAGTTAAATTATTTAAAACTCCGGGTAAATCAACTCCTTTTTGAATAATTGTTACCTGCATATAAATCAGGGCTTAGATAAAGCAAACTAGATTTGAACTGTAAATGATAAATGTTACAGAAACCCCCCCCCCCCCCACTTTTATTTTTTTTTTTTGCTAAAAGAAAAGATCCTATTATGCAAGTGTAACTTTGTTCTTCTACCACATCAGTTACCTAAGTGTAACAATGTTCCTGTACAGCAACAGTTATCTAAGTGTAACAATGTTCCTGTACCATACAACATATCAGCCTAGTTACACTTATTGACTGTTCAACAGTCTGGCCTGTATACTGCAATACACCAGAGCCATGCAAATGAGCAGAGCCCTTACCCCATACCCTCCACTTATCTAGGTCACCAGCTACTTGCTCTGGTTCACTACCTTCCAAAGCCTGTCACATGACCTGATTGTGCAATAAATCATGGGGGTGGAAGGGGGGGTGGTGGTGTCTCAGAGTTGATAAACTCAGGAGGTCACCCAAAATTTCAGCTGTAGCAGAAGTGATAAAACCCTGGCTATACTCCCAAATACCACATGCCACTATTGATCAATATTTTTATAACTTGATGTTTCTGGAGGGGAAAAAAATAAATCATAATGCATCCTGCTTGAGTCAACAACACCAAAAAAAATGTATAGTAAAATATGCATACTAAATCTGATCAGTATCAACAACCCAACAGAATGTTTCACAGAATTATAACAGAGTTCACTATTTAAAAGATAGACTCTAATGAATAAATTTAAACCTTGAAGTCTGTGAAAATAACAACATAGAGATAATCCAGCTCAATGTTTTAGTTTTGATGAGATGATTGTTTCAGCACTGTCACAGTATTTAATCTCTGTTTTAGTAACAAGTTCAAAGCAACTGCAACGTTCCAAGTCCTTCAATGGCAACCTCTCTGTTCAAAGCATTGCAGTTAAATTTTTTTTTTTTAAAGTCTTCATTATAATCCTGGATATGATGGAAATTTTCTGTGAGACGCATGTAGTGATGACTCTTGAATGTCCAGATACAGTGAATTATCCCACCATGATTTATCTCTCAGATGTCTTTGTCAAACCGTGCCGCATCATTATGTTAATGATGAACGGGAAAATTAGATGATGGCATGGGTTAGACCCCTGCTGCAGACATGGGTTAGACCCCTGCTGCAGAGTGTGGATGCTGAGGTAAAACAAATGTGTTTCATGGCTCAAGGCAGGGGTCAGGCAGGGGTCCACATCTGTTTTTACTTATGTTGTGTGAGCATCAGTATCAAGTAAGCTGGTCGACTGGGCTATTGTCCCAGAGCAAGACTCCCCTGGGAGGGATGATGCTGACAACGGGCACCTCAAGTTGCCTCACACTACAGGAGTTTGGGATATCCTGGAGAAGACATGAAAACAAAACATTGTACAACCTGTGACTGACAAGAGGGGAACACTATCTCTGTCCATGCTGTTTTATACAATTACAAGGTGTGCATGTATGCAAGCTTAAGGGCTTCTGTCCATCTTGGATGAAACCTTTGTGACTACCTGAGATTAAAGGTGTCTCTCAAACAATCTGTCTAGGTTTAAAGGCTTCTGTCTATATGGACTTAAAGACCTATGTCAGAGGTTATCAAGGGTGTGCGTACCTGCTAGGTTCTGGTAGTTTCAACATGATGTTAAGACGATCAACCGGGTAAAGTCTCAGCAGATAATTCATCGTTCCAAAGGTTCTGGAACATGTGAAGAAGTTTTTTGTCATTGTAGCTCAGGCCGTCATCACCGTGCTGATAGGGGGAAAATAAAACAACAAAATCAATAATTAGCTTGCTGAATGTGATGAATGATAACATGAATTAAAAGCAAAATTAAATCATCATCTTATCTTTAGGTGTTTCAGTTATTTCAATGTAACTATAACTTCAATATTTCATTATTCTATTTAATATAATGCTCACCTGTATTAAAAAACAATCCAGCTCTGATGAGGTCTTGACATCTCTTTGACCCTTGGCTAAGGCAGCGACCTCGACGAGGTCACTTGGAGAGTTAAGTCCTGAATGAATTTGATTGATGTCCAGCTGTTGACAGGTAAGGAAAATGGAATGTTATTATAACAGCTACTACAGAGCAACATTTGCATAGCATAGTCCACACGAAACAGCAAACCTAGCTGATTCATAATGTTCAAAATCTTCATAGAAATTCTCACATAGACTCGATCAATTTTAGTTTATAAATGTTAGAATTCACCAAATCTAATAAAATAGTTAATATACTCAGGTATTTCTAGTGAACTAAGCGCATAATTAAAATGAAGAACAACAAAAATCCCCAAGAAATTAATTCCAAAATCCAAGATCCAAATAAATTGTATTTACCTTTAAAATGAGTATGTCATACTCCACACAGACAGACTCGATGAGCAGCATCTGTATGTTGAGATTGACATCGCTGCTGCTGGTGTCCACAGGGAGTATGCAGATGACCACATCACTGGGGTTTCTGAAATGTAACAAGTTGTTTCATGAACAAAATGTGTAAAAAAAAATTCAGTTCAGGAGGCTTAAGTTAAACTTTGAAGGAAAAAAAACATGCTGGTGTTGCATCAATGTCTTTATTGATCTAAAAATACCTAGAATTGGAAAACTAGGAGACATTTCTTTAGCTTTATTACTTTAAGATACTGGAATTTTTTTCCTTCTAAAAAGCAATGCATTTATTTTAAATAAATTATTTGAACTGTTGCTGTGCAGCACTGTAAAAAGGCGAACTGATGGAGTTGTTTTTGCAATCCCCCGCCCATGTTGACAACACCTCACAGTTCTGTTTTCTTTAAACGTAAATGGGGCGGGGCCTTCATTCTTGGACAAGGGGAGGAATGGCGCAACGCACTCAGGAGGACATAACTACAGAATAAATTTAGATAAGAATTTTGCCTAGATAAACAGCCTTACCTGCTTAAAACTGTGACGCAGTCACCGAGACCGTGCGTCAGTCTGCCCTCGCGTGCTGCCTGCGTTATGGCACTTGTCACGAGTTCGCACATGGTGGTTTCTGGGGATCTGAAAGTAGCAAAAATGTACACCTGAACGTTAACTCCAGTGTCGTGGAATCCTTCTCAGATAACTATCATCAACACGTTGACATGGAAAATAATATTAAAAAATTACAAAGAATCCACTTCCTCTTTCAAAGATTCGCAAAATAAAATTTTCAGTAAATTCTTAAGTTTACGCTAAGAATATGGGCGTGCCACTAGCATGCAGTTATCCACCTAACAATAATTTCAACTTAGGCCCATGCCACATTGCATAACTAATAAAGTTAATAATAAAGAGTACAAAGTTTTAAAATTTACACGTGAAAACACTTGCTAATATGTTCCATTTCAGAAACCACATTCACATATGCTATGATACCTATATGAATGCCATGTGCATTTATTTAATTTTAAGACAAGTCTGCATCTACTCGTTGCATCAATCAACAAATAATTGCGATGGTAGACCAGATAAGTTTTCGCCCCGCGATGTTTTTGTATATTTGCTCCAAACGAACTAACGCAGTAGTCCGTAGTAACAATCGGCGACTGGTTGCTCTTAGTAACACAAGCCTCTGACGATAGCTTAATCAAAAACTCACTTTTCCATAAATTCTGCAGTAGATCTATCCGTAGAAAAAGCTTGTAGCACGTCGGTTAGTGTCATGATGAACACAAGATAAGACTATCACACACAGTGGAAATCTAAAACAGGTTTGTTGGTTGCACAAAGAAAAATTTGCTAAGGCTGAAGTGAAGTAACTCCCACACAGCTCGCGCGCAGGTTTTGTATGCTGTACGAGGTCACGGAGCGCCATTTTGCTTATATACGTGGGCCAAAATTCCCGCGATCGCTGATTGGTTGAAATGAACTGGTAAGGTTCCGTTAGTCACGTCTGCTGAACGTCTGGATGACTACATCTCGTGACTCGTGTGGCTCTTTTTTTTCCGGTGATTCTCAAGACAAGGGTGTTATTTGTTTTGATTGTGGCTGCTGGCAATATTTCCCAACCAAACTTTTTGAGGGGAAAAAATTTAAATCTTTTTCCCTGTACTCGATTCTTTTGTCTTGTTTAGATGGGATTTCATGAGCTAAACTTTTATAGCCATTTCCCGGATTAATTAATTAAGCATGAACTGTATTTTTTAATTTTGTTTAGGTTTGCAACTGAATGTTTTCCCCAACTAAAAGGAAGTATGACCTACATTTGGCTAACCCATGCAGCATTATTATGGGATGATATATCTTCTTTAATTTATTATAATGGGGTGGGGGGGGGTCCGATTACTACAGAAACGTGTGGGAACCGTGTTCATGTATTAATTTTTTTGCCAAGTAAATAATTAAATACTTATTTTATTTTTTTATTTACTTTCTTTGTGTTTTTTTTTTTTGGGGGGGGGGGGGAATTTTTGGTTGCATTCCTTAACTTTTTTTTTTTTATTTAAAAAAAAACACAAAAAAAAAACAACAACTCTAGATTGGAGTCACAAGTTTTGCAATGCCCAGGCACGGGGCATTCATCTCATTAGTTTAAAATACAGAGACCTCTGATTGTGATATTCAACAGTTTGTAATATTTCACTTTACCAAAGGCGTTCAAAGATGGCACTCCGTGTCCTCGTCCACACGGCGAAGCCAGCATCATCAGAGGAAGTTTTTTTCCCCGCTGTATACGTTTGACCTCATTTGGACTGATAGCAGGGAAATCCCAATCCCTCGCCCTTTTCCTCGCGTGTTCGTTTCTTGGGCAGTACCGGTAGCATTTAATGCTTCTCAAATTGTGTTACGCTGAGCCCCATTTTTTTTCAAAAAGAAACGCGATATACAATATTTTGTGTTAAAATATCATATACTTTAGTGATGCATTATTCATTATTTAATGTTGGCTATTTATTTAATAGGATTAATAGAAAAAGAGACATTTGCTTAAATTATTAACTCAAATAAATTAGAATACTTAGGAGGTGTTCTTGAGACAAAAAACAAAACAACAAAACACCACATTATTCATTATAGCCTAAACAGTTTTCGTAACTTTTCGACATATCTCGGTGGTGATGGATGAAACAGGTGGAGCATTTGTTTTATCATTAATATTACTATTTTATTATCTGTTATTCTTGATCCATCTTATCTCTCACGACGTGAACGATCTGAAGTATTTCCGCTGCCTCCGATCGTCGTGTGGCTGGAGTGGGAAGCGATTGGCTCTGCATACCAAGCATAGCTGGTCGTGTTGTCTTGTAAGACAACAAATGCCTCGCCTCGTTGTTTTCATTTGAAAGCTCGCTTGGCTTGGGAAGAACGACAAGGTTGGCAGGAATGTGAGGATCGGTACCCCGCTTTCGTTGCCAGGGTGCACCGGATGACACGGTGTGTTGAGTCATGGCGCAGTGGACAAGATGCCAGCTAACGTGGGACTGGCTAACATGGCGTAGTGGACAAGATGCCAGCTAACGTGGCATTGACTAACTTGGCGTAGTGGACAAGATGCCAGCTAACGTGGGACTGGCTAACATGGCGTAGTGGACAAGATGCCAGCTAACGTGGCACTGGCTAACATGGCGTAGTGGACATGATGCCAGCTAGCGTGGCACTGGCCAACATGGCGTAGTGGACATGATGCCAGCTAACGTGGCACTGGCTAACATGGCGTAGTGGACATGATGCCAGCTAACGTGGCACTGGCTAACATGGCGTAGTGGACAAGATGCCAGCTAACGTGGCACTGGCTAACATGGCGTAGTGGACAAGATGCCAGCTAACGTGGCATTGGCTAACATGGCGTAGTGGA